ATAATGTTAATAGTTCATTAATTAAATTTCCTGATTGTTTATCTATCATTTATTAAACTGACTTATAGAGGTATTTACATAGGGTTCTTCCATTTTCATCAACAGTTATTTTCCCAACTTTTAATTCTTTATTATTACTTAAACTAGAATTACGATCCAACAGTAGAATTTTCATATCGTAAACAAGCTGTCATTGATGGTCGTCCATGTATGCTTGAATTATTAGATACAGCCGGACAAGGTACTTACGTATTATGATTATTAACAATCCGTATGCAATAGTTTGCGGACCAATGTATCTTCCTTTGAGAATCTTAAATGAACCTCATTTAATCGATAAACTAATTAAATTCCTTCCTGTAACTGTAAAATTATCCCTTTTAAACATACATACTACCACATGACGTTATGATTTCATATATTTATATTGAAACATCATTATACACACAGATGAGTTCACTACTTTGCGAGATCAAGGGATTAGGTATATTTTTAATTATGTATCGATTTTTCCTTTTTTTTTTTTTTTTTTTTTACTAAATAATAATTGTAAAATATAGAGATTGTGAAGGTGTCGTCCTTTTATATTCGATTACATCAAGGCCTACGTTTGAAAGAGTATGTAGATATTATGATCAAGTCCTAAGAGTCAAAGATGCTGAAAGTGTCCCAATGATTCTTGTTGGCACCAAATGTGATAAGCTTAATGAAAGAGAAATTGCAAAAGAAGAAGGCGTGATAATATCAAGGCGATTAAAATGTGATTTCATCGAAGCATCTTCAAGAACTGGTATAAATGTGGATCGGGCATTTTATAGTGTAGTTAGATCGATAAGGCAATCAAGGGGTGATGAAATTATAACACGAGAAAAAACTTTCAGATCGGGAGGAAAAAAAGTGCTAAATTGTCTTATCACTTAGTATAACATTATTGTTTGAATATTTAAAGTACATAGATTAAAATATATTTAGTGATCTTATTCATTCTTATGTGGTTTTACACTTAGATTTACTTGTAATTTATATAAAATGTTATTTAAATTTTAGATCTTAAAAACCGAATGCGTGTTGTTATTAGAATTATTATTAAATTGCGGCATTGTGACTTGTGGCTGTATTACAATAATTGTCACATTGCGTCTAAATTCTGTAAAAGCCAAACACAATAAAATGATCTGGAACTGTAAACATATAAAACTTGTAGGTGTGCAATTTCTAATTTGTCTTCAATTTTCAATTCTCATGATATATGATACCTTTGAACGTAATTTCTAAAATCAAAAATCATTGATAAAAGGTGTGTTGATAATCAATAATAAATTGGATATTCATCCGTAGCTAAGTACGTATGTACGTCCTGTACGTACGTACGTATGCCATAGGTACACAAAATGACATAATTTGTGTTGTTTTAGTGCTTCAATGTTTGTGTTTTAGTATTAAACAAATTAAAAATTATTTCTATAGAAGAAATTAGTACCAAATTTAGCAATAAATTTTTTAATTCTGTGTTTTAACGTTTTAACGGTTTAGTGGTTTTGTGGTTTATTGATTTGGGAAATTTGTTCCAAAAATAATAGTTATGATAGGCTGATATCGGCAGCTTGTGTAAACTTTGACCCAATAAAACCTCAGGTGCCACATAAGGCATAACACCATAAATATCACCTTCTGAACTATTTTCGTTGGATTTTTTAGACAATCCTAGATCTGTGATGTAAGATTGCATAGTTTCACTAATTCCTTTACCCTGCAAAATATTGCCACTGTGAAAGTCTGAATGAACATATCCTGCAGAATGAATACAATATAAATTGTCAGAAATATCTTTAAGTAGTTTTAATTTAGTTTGCCAGGTAAGTTCACGAAAATTTTTTCTAAAAACTTGTGAAGACTTCCATTATCAGCATATTGAAATACCATAAAGTATTCATTTTCACTTTTTTGAGTCAATCCGTATATTTTAAGTTGACTACCCCGTAAGCCACATGTTATATGATTCTCAAACTTTATAATTAAATAAATCAAATGAAATAAATTAGTTTATTATTTATTTAATAAATTATTGAATAAGCAGATTTAACTTACTTCTTTCAAAGAACCAGACAGGGTCTTGAGTGCAACAATGCGAGATGTTTCGCGTGATCTTTTATATAAATACTTATTTTTATTATCGTCTCTATCATCAAATTTAATTTTTTCAATTTTTCGTATACCATCCAACCAGGTTGCTGAATATACAGAGCCGAATCCTCCTTTTCCAATTTTTTCAATATTATATAATCTATCAAATGGAATCCATTCGATTGCATTTTCATATGTATAGGCTCTAAGTTGGAACTGTTTTATGCAATCATCAATATCCTTACTTTTACTTGTCCACCTTGTTGTTATGTCAGGATCACATGATTGACACCACGCTGGTTGCGTGTTATATTCATTACAATTCGTACATTTTCCATGTTGAGAATTGCTTTATAATCATAATATATAATATATAAATAACAGTTTATTTCATTTAAAAACGCTATTTTAAACCTTATTTCGAATGTAAATGATTTTTGTACTTACCGACTAAATTAATGCGAATGAAATGATTTGAAGGGTATTACATGATAGTAATGGTAAATAAGTATTTATGTTCTTGATTTGTGAACTTGCTTTGCTGTTTTTAATTCCAATGATTAAATAAATGTTCTTTATACTCACTCACTTAATGAATGATTAACGCGAATGAAATGATTTGAAGGGTATTACATAATAGTAATGGTAATAAGTATTTATGTTCTTGATTTGTGAACTTGCTTAGCTGTTTTTTTATGTGTTTGTACCCTAGGAATTTTCAAATTTTTTTTGCAATTTGAAGGTTATAAAACAAAACGGTCGATTTATTACGATGCCTTCAATATAATTTTGTCGTATTGCTAAAAAGTATGTATAATGAAAAAAAGAGAAAGCTTTGATTCTATTGTAATCTTAATATTTGGAATAAAGAAATTTCTAATAATGATCTATACAAAATAACAGAAAAGATGAATGATTCTTAGGTTTTGTCATATCACTATCAGATAAACTTTTTTCAGGCACCTTTACACTGTGTATATTTTAATCTAGTTTGAACGAGAATGTGCTGTGTTCCCTTTAACTTAGTAAAATCATTGGGCTGACTTAAACGAGAATGCGCTATGTGCCAACACCATTTCTAACAGGATAGAATCTTTATATAAAAAAATTATAAAAATAAATAATTTTAATTGTTTGTTCAATAATAATACAAAGGTGGTTTGTTTCATACATCGAGTCAGGACAATTGACTACAATGTAGCCTTTGTTTATATACTTTATTTTTATGTTAAATGTTTTTAAACCGTTTAAAAAAAATGTCATACCCTGTAAATTTTGAATTTGAAACATCTAACATATGGGTAAGTACACAGCAAAACCATGCTTAGAGTATATATAATCTATATACTCTAAGCATGGTTTTGCTGTGTACTCACACATATATATATATTTGACTGAATTTACTGTAATTATACTAATTTTGCCGGAATCATACTTAAATTATTTTTTAATTTGGCCCAGAATTATCTTAATTTTGCTTGAAATTATATGTATTATTGCTTGTACCTAATTTTCATTTACAATTTTGATTTGAATTAAATTTTTTTCAAAATTCATATCTGCTAAATCACGAGCCATAAAATAATAACAATAAAAAAAGAACAAAAAAATTTTTCCAAATAAAAGATAAAGAAAGAGATAGAAAATTTGCCATCAGTGTTCATTAAGGATAAGGATGAGTAATGCTTGTCTTTTTTGTTATAAAATATTAACGCGCTAAGCTTTTTTTATATGCTTATCAGTTTTTCAGTCATATAAATAAATAGCAAGCTTTGCTATTTACAATATGACAAATTAGACAAGAATCTAATAAAGGTAAATGCTACAAAAAGGAACAATTAAATTTCACGGTCCTAAATTGTTTTTGTCTCAATTGAAATGTTAAATATTTATGAGAAGCAGTCAAAAAGAAATATTTGGGTATTACAGAAATATGTTTTTACCTGGATAACTAGGGTGCAGACAAATTTGAAGAATATTTTTTCATATTGAATTAATTCTTCTTTTAGAATATCAAAGATTTCATATTTATCTGAATATGACATATTGGTCATTCATCTTTTCTGTTATTTTGTATAGATCATTATTAGAAATTTCTTTATTCCAAATATTAAGATTACAATAGAA